GCATGCTAAGCATCCGCACAAGCTGCTTTGTCGTCTGCTCCCAACTCCAGCAGCACTCCAGCGACACGCAGCATCCCCTTGCACCAGCCACCACGGTTGTCGCTGAAATGGGCCGTGCTCCACCGGTGCATGACACGCTGCCCAGCCATTCTACTACACTCCCGCAGAAACAGCACCATGACGTGCATCTGTGGCCATACTTGTTTTGGCCTGGTCTAGCCGCTTTCCGGCTTAGTTGCATGCCGCGCTCGTTCTCTTTTTTCCCAACCGCATACACACTAGATGAGAGAGATAAGTGTGGATGGTTGCAATTTAAGCTTAGTCAGCATAATATTGAGGCTTTTTCATGCTACCAGAGTTACTAAACTTGTAGAGCACACATAAAATATTTTTAGAATTAACCGAATCCAAAACTTAAACTTCGAACTAGCGGACATTTTTTTTTTTTTTTTTTCAGTTACATGTATGAATGCCAGGTCCACAACCACGCTTCGAACAAACCAAAAATGAAAATAAAGCGTCTTTCAATCACCGAGAGTCGAAAGTGGTGCTTGGAGGTAACGGGTATGATGAGAACCTAATTCACGTGACATCTGAGATGCTTTCTGGACAGGTTCATTAGCCAATCTGTGGTCCTTGTAGGCAACACAAGGTACGGCCACCAGTTTCAAGAGGTGCCAGAAGAACTTCTACGATGCGTTTAACAGACCTCATGCATAGCTTGCAGGGCACTCCACGGCTCCAAAACCAAGGCTGGGAACAGGTTGTATACAACCGGCTCTAGCAGACGGTAAAGGCGACCTTGGAGGCGACGGAGGCAATGCAGGCGAGAGGGTGAGGGCAGGCAGGCAACTGCATTACCTCCTCTCTTATGGACATTGTGTTGTAGATGATGTCAGAGCCTACAGGACATTCCCATAATTCATTGCACGCTTTGCGCATGACCTTTTGAGATTTTCGCAAATGGTCTATTTTAGTGGCGTACTAACTCGTTTCTGAGTGGGTGGGTAAACCAGGCCCCCCCCCCAGGGCCGGGGAGCGGTGCCCTTTGTATCCCTTGGGAGTCGCCGGCCAGTGTTTGCCCTGCCCAGTGGCGGCTGTTTCAGGGGGGGGGGGGGCAGAACACATGCGCTGCCCCCCCCACTCTGAGAACTGGGGGGGGAAAGCGCCCCCCTTGCCCATGGTCTATTCTAAGCTTGCGTACCGTATTTGCACGAATATAACGCGACCACGAATATAACGCGAGGGCAGTTTTTGATGCCCCCAAAAAGAAAAAAAATATTATTACTATTATAACGCGAACCGATGCCGCGTCAATTTCTCGCACTCGGGGCATAGCAGAAGTGAAAAGTCAATGGAAATGGAAGAAATATCAGTTTAGGTTTTGACTGCACTCATCCTCACTGCTCAGGTCCTTCCGTTTACAATCCATTTGGCGACTACGCAGGTATGCAGCAGCACGGCACCTGCTTGTCTGGTAGTTCTTTTTTGTTCCGTGGGAGCTCCTCGGCAGCCCACAATCCAAACAAGGCGCGGAAGCAGAAGCACCAACACACAAACACCAGACCACTCTGGAGCAGAAACTAAACAATGCGCTGGCAGAAAAAAGACTGCTGAACCCGATACACGATCACACTTCTTGTTCTGGTCCCTCTTCGTAAACAAATGCCTCGTGTCGCATGATTGCGTAAACGCGGTCGGTGGTCTTGGCTTGGCTTGTGTTGATTTGACTTGGCCCGGCTTGGCTTGGCTCGAATTGGCCGGTGCCCGCATTCCCGCATGACGCGCGCGCGTGCAGCGTGCGCGCGTTGTAAAAACACAAAAGCGGTAAAAATGCTTTTTTATGTTTTCTATTCGTCCCTTCACGTGGCCCAATGGCTAGAAAATGCCCCTCCACACCCCCACTTCTTCTTCCATTGGATCTTTTGCATTGAGCCGGAGGGGTGACTTTCTCCTCTGGCTTTCACCAGACTCGCGCGCCTCGTGGCTGAACTCGATTCCGAATATAACGCGAGGTGTGTTTTGGAGCACGTAATTTCGGAAAAAAACTCGCGTTATATTCGTGCAAATACGGTAACTCCTCTGCAATAGTATCAAGGCTGCATTTCACACCCACTCCAAATAAATTACAACTTCTTTCGTAAAGCAAAAAGCAAATCTCGAGCTGAGAAATCTCAAACACTGCTGGCTTATAGTAATACTACTTGCGAGCTGCAAGTACAATAAATGAAATTTAATAAAGAAATGCTTGGGGAAGAGGGCAGAAATGGCTTGAGCAGAGCGTGGGTTCTCAAGCTGGATTCCTCCTTCCTCAGAGTCTGTTTTAGGCAGAGTGGTTAACCAGTACTTCTTTAGTAGATCCAAGCTGCACACTGATGCACAACTATGTGCCAAACACTTCCCGGTGTGTTCATTATTACAGTCTACGCTCGTTACAACGGATACAGTTACAACAGACTTTCAGACATAACATACCAATTTGTGGAGTTCGGTTGGTCCCCATTGATTGAACTTCGTTTATTGCGGATTCGGCTAATACATACATTCGGATATAATGTACCATTTTAGGAGACGTTTCCGTATATTTTCGCTTCGTTATTGCGGACTTCTTGACAGCTGACATTCTCTCATTTCGAAAATTGCTTGGCTTTTCGACGACGCAGCGATTGCGACGGCGGCCATTTTTCATACGCCTGGCGTGCGCTCCGTATGCCCTCTTTGATGTCGCAATGTTGAAAAAAACAGCTCAGTCACCCCAGCAGCCATACAGAGTTTTTGAACGGCGAGGGTGGCGAGGGTATAAGACTCTTACTCCAAAGTCAAATCGAGCAAACACCATTTCCATTTCACGCATGGAGAATAGAAGGGTAGGAGGGAACATGACGCCAGCTGCGCAGCCTCCACAAGCCATGCTCCCTTGACGCCTCGCCTCTTTCTCATTTTCCTCCTTACTCTCACCACATCACGTGACCGTAGCTAGCCTTTGTCTAGCCTTCGATCTGATAAAACCTACCGGACGGAGCGCGCGCAAGCCTGCAAGGAATCCTCCTACAATCAACCATCCATCTCGCACGTGACATGTCACGCGCACCAATTGCCAGAGAGATCTGCGGTCACGCTGGGCACAAATCGTTTAAACTTTTTATGACTAGGCTTCACCAATATTGCAACGAGCCCCCTCCTAGTACTTCTAACCTCCTTGGTTTCACCGATCTCCACATTTTCTGGCGTTTCAATAATCTTGCAACCCGCCCCGTACTCGAACGTCAGTGCGTTGGTCACGTCAGTTTTCAAAAGTGATTTCTGTTGTGACTACATCGGCTACATTGCCTCGTTCAACTATGTTATTTTTATCTGCCGACCGCCCACTCCCCTCTGTAATGCCTTCGGGCCCTGAGGGAATAATAAATGAAATGAAATGAAAGCGTGCGGAGCAATCGGCAGCCATTTTGGGCCACAACGACTTCTTGTGCAGCGATGGTTGGTTAAGCCGCTTTAAAGCGAGGCACGGGGTAACTTTCAAGTGCATTTCCGGAGGGTCGGACGGCGTTGACGATGGCGTTGATGACGGCGTTGTGGTGAACTGGAAAAACCAGTCTCTTCCGAGTCTGCTTGCGGGCTATGAACCGCGTAACATCTTCAACGCCGACGAAAGCGGACTCTACTACAAAGTGAGGCCAGGAAAGACCTACAGTCTCTCTGGGGAACCGTGCCACGGAGGGAAGAGATCTAAAGAGTGTGTGAGCGTTCTCTTCTCCTGCAACATGGACGGAACCGAAAAGACAAACCTGCTATTAATTGGCAAGGCTAAGCAAACCATGTGCTTGTGCAAGGTGCACATTCCCGTAGATTAGGCATCTAGCAAAAGCGCATGGATGACACGGGACATTTTTAATAAGTGGTTGCTGGATTTCGATGGCAAGATGAAGAAAGAGAAGAGGAAGGTGCTACCTTTCCTTGATAACTGCTCCAGCCACATGCAGGTTCCAAAGCTCCAGTCCACAAAGGTGGTGTACTTCCCGCCGTGCACAACATCGAAGCTACAACCCATTGACCAGGGCATCGTGCACTCCGTGAAATCGAGATACTGTATGCGGCTCGCCGAACGTTTGCTCTACAACATGCAGCAAAATATTTACTCTGTCATTGACCTCAAGTTTGCAGAGCAGGTTGTCTCTGCTGTGTGGGAACAAGTTGAAGCACGAGTCATCAAGAACTGTTTCCGGAAGGCTGGCTTCGACGACAGTGAAGAGCCCGTCCCTCTGGTAGACAATCCTGACGAGCCAGAGCCAGGGTTTTGGGGAGCTGTTAAGAAAGCTTTTGGTTCAGAAGACTTTTCGGATTACGTGAACGTTGATGCCGACGTTGTCAGCACGGAGCAACTAACAGATGAAGGAATAGTTGCTCAGGTGAGAGGAGTCTCTACTTGTGACCAAGAGGAGGGATAAAAGGGTGACGAAGAGGCTGTGACAATAAGAGTAACAACTGCTGAAGCCATGGATCATATCAACGCCCTCAACTGCTTCTCTGAGCAGAATGGGGCACCAAAGGAGGTGTTGCGTCTTGTGAAAATGGAGCAATGAATTCTGGCAAATGCTGTGAGCCGTACTGCCCAATCGAAGATTACCACTTTCTCCCAGAATGCCTAGTGTAACCAACAATAAACAAGTTTGTGTTAACAGACATTTGTGTTTTGTTAATCTCGCTGGTTACAACAGACTCTATTCCTAATCTTCTTCAAAGTCTGTTATAGCGAGCGTAGACTTATTTACGAGGTCCGTAGGCTCCCGTACCACTTTACCGCACGAATGCCGAGGTGGCCACTAACCAAGCCAGACAAGAGGTACTAAAACATTAAGGTGGGCTACGCATTATCAACAATAAATAGTGCAAACGAGGGCAGAAACAGGAACGTTCCTCGAAACGTCCGAGGACCCCTGTAGCAAGACCCCCGCAGAACGTCCTGCAAGGACCAGATGGTGCCGGAAAGAGCGCCTCACCTGTAGGCGTCGTCAGAGGAGAGCCTCAGGTGGCGCATGACGTAGGCGATGGCCACCGTCGGAGAGCGGGAGATGCCCGCCAGGCAGTGCACCAGCACGCAGCCGCCAGACTCACGCACCTTGTCTGCAAAGAGAAAAGACGCTTTCCATGTACCCTCGTGGCGCAAACAATACGCCGCCAATTACGAAAAATGCTGGAAGGGCTCTGGTTTTAGATCTGGGAAAACAAGCGAAGGTATCGGTAGCAGATGGTTCGTCCGCTAACGCGAGCAGAGAACAAAGTTTATTTGCTCCCAAAAATGAAATGAGATAAAAAAACCTTCCAGTCTTACGTTAACAGAACCAAAAACAAGTGGACCGTTTACTATAAACCGAGGGCTGCAGCAAGTTGATCTCAGACGCAAACTAAAATTGCGGTTGCCCGCTCGGTTTTTGGTCATGGCCGACTGGTTTTGCCTTTAGCACCAAGGGCCAAGGTTCCCTCCCCCTCCCTTTTTGGGAAAAATAAAAAATAACTGAAAGTGAATTCATGCTGAAAGCAATTCACAACACATGCTTCATTTGTCCAAGTTTCAAGTTGTCCTGCTGGCATCTAAAAGCTGAAATTCCACCAGTAGATAATCACTTGGAGCAAGTGCATCAGAGGTTGCAGAAGCTCTCTGCAACCTCTGATGCACCAGAATAGTAGACTTGCCAATGGGATAAAAAAGTTTCATGGGTCGATACCAATCGCCCAGTAGAAAGCTGCGACAGCTCGTCCAATTAGCAGTTGAGAAAGCTCTCGCTCTCATCAGTGAAATTCAACGAAAAATGGGGTGAGTGACGACACAATGTCTAGACGCAAAAAGCGAGAAAAAAAGCGAGAAAATACCCATTTCTCAGCACGTATCTAGCACAGCCACACTGAAGATACAAGAGTTGCATTCCTGCCTTAGGCACTCGTTAAACATAATTTTACTTTCACGCAAAATAAACTTCCGTTGCCCCTTGTGCTGATGTTTATACAACATCTGACGTCGCAACAAGATGGTGGACCAGACAAGTTGGAAGTTTGTCTTCATTTTATGGTCTTTCTATAATTAAAAATAATTTTAAAATATTTTGAAAAAATTTGTTCGCTGCTCTAGGGCTAAATTTTTGTGCTCTTTCAGAAAATGTATATAGTACCGTAATATCCCGACGCAACGCCCACCCTCCCTTAGCAGCAAACTTCCGTTTGCTGCTACCAGAGTCGAGGAAAATGGGTACCGAGGAAGCGGCAGGCTCCCGCAAAGTGTGGCATGAGCTTCTCGCTGTAGTTGTCGTTCACCGGGATGCGCAGGAACTGGGTCTCCTGGATGAACTCCGGCTTGGGGCAGGAGGCACTCACGTTCAGCTCGTACGTGATGTTGTGGTCCTGCACCAATCGGGGAACAACGTCTCGCAACAAGACAGCTGGCCGTCTCTTGGGCATTCCCCAAAGCCGTTCCTTAGGGGAATGCCTCTCTAGTACACCCCAACCCTCCTGGGTTAAGTAAAGAACGTCAAAGGCAGAGCGTTTGTTACGTTCCTCCTTTTGCGACCACAGTAAAATGGGCACATTGCAAGGGTCGTGTCGCGTCATGGCGTCGAGCGACATCGCGGACGCGACCTCGCAATATTGTGTCATGATGTCACGCGACACGATCACCATGTCACCTCACGATGCCACCTGACCTGACATGACGGTGTCATGCGACAGTGTGAGGTCCTCGAGGCTACATAAGTAGATATGAAATTCCTAAAGCTGGCCCTATAAATGCTAAGCATTAAAAACGGGCATACGACGAAATCTAGGATAGAATCTGTGTTCACTGAACAAGATTTTTGCACATTTTCCATAGCTTACAATGTATGTAGCTTAAACGTTTCTTAGCCAATAAGTCGTAGCGCAAGAAATTTTTCTGAACCTCGCCTCAAAGCTGCACCCACGTCATAGTGAAAACGGTGGGGGAAGCAGCGGGAAGCCAACGGAGCCTTCGACTAAGGGCTCCGACCGGGACTCGTTGGTTTCCTAACCTTTTGTAAATAAAATTATACCACCACCATCATCAGCCAATTCTCGACAAAAAAGCAATTTCCGCACCGAAAAACGGCAAATTTTGAGGCGCAAGTATCTTTTCACGGTTATTGAACCATTGCGCACCGCGCTTCTGCGAAGCTCTAGGTACGCATAAATGACCCATTCTTGAAATACCTCAATGGCAGGCAAACATCACGTTTTTGACCATGAACTAAATACAAATATTACAACTTAACTACAAATCAAATTATAAATAATTTACATTTCATGCGAGTTGAACGTGCATACATTAATAAATTGCAGCCGGTATTAATTCTCCATCCACATACCTACAAAATTTAATTTATTACATGAGAAATATTTGTATTAGCAATGAGGCCCCGATGTGACGAGCAGGGTACAACATAAGGAAACATGGCAAGCACTGTGACAAATACCTCGTTTAATGAATATACAATTTTTTTTTCCTGGAATCATTCTTAAAAATTGGGGGTCAAGCCATAATCAAACCAAACAAGGTTGAACTCTAATAGCGAGCAAAAATTCTGAGCCCATCGATCCAGGCGAGACACTCCGTCATGTCAGCCGTTTCTCCGAGCACGCCGGTGCAAGGAGGTGAGTTTTGATGCTTGTGCGTCACTGCAAAGCGGTGAAGTAAGATGCAAGAGCGCTAATGTGAAGCTTGACACAAAAAATCAGGGAGTTCCAAAGAAAAATAGAGACATAATTTTCAAATATTATTTAAATCTCAAATATTGCGTTTACCCAATTTCTAAAGCACAAATTTTTTCACATAAAAAAAGAAAAAAAGAAACTGATTTTGTGCGCAAGGAACGAGTAAACTTCATGTATCCATAAGCATCATTCTTCCTCATCGGTCTCGAGCAGTTCTTTGTCTTTCCAAGCGCAAAGGCATTTTAGGTCAGCAGCTCATTGTATTGTTCATCGCGTTTGAGATTTCGCATTTCGCTAACAAGCGCCGACAATAACAAACACGTAGAGTCCTACAATTCTGGGTAAAACGCAATATTTTCCAATAGAAAATCTAGAAAAATGATTTTCACCATTTTTTTTTATCACTTTGTTCCAAAAATAATTTGTATTTAAAAGAAGTTGCTAGGATCATGTACGCAAACTCCAGACCTCGGAAACAATGCTATATTCGACTTTATTCTACTGCCGTGAAAAACCGAGCCCCAAATTATATTCTTTGTTGGACAGAAAGAGCAGACACCAGTAGGGTTGTGCGAATATTCGAAAGCTTCGAATATCGAAGCGAACAATGCCATATTCGATTCGGACTTCGAAGCGAATAGTACTATTTGGAAATACTTCGAATATTTTCGAAGTATTTCGAAGTTTGAACACGGTGCAAACCACGACCTTATTCAAAAGAGGTAAGCTAATACCCTAGTTACACGAGCGCTCTCAACTGCCATTGAGTCAACGGTAGTTGACTCAATCACGATCGGCCGGAGTTAAACGGCGGCTCCAACTTTCATTGAGCCGCTAATCACACCTCAGTTCAACTGAACGGAATTCCCCAACGGAGGTAAAATGGCGCCTATTTATGGGACCGCTGCCGCCGACCATCGTTTGCGAGGCACTTATTGTTTCTGAGTGCAGGGGGAGGCGCCCAGAAAGAATCGCGGCAGCAAACATTCCGGGAAGGAATAGGTTTAGGCGTCCGAGCTGCCGCTAAAACATTCCCAGCTAGCCGGCGAGCCACTAAACGAGTGAAGATGGCGGAGAAAACTAGTTTCGTTTTAGCTTCAACTGTGTTCTTGAGAGCCGCAAAAGATGACATTCACGTCAAAAACTGTGTGACCGTGTGCTACGATTGCCAGAGCCTGACTAATTTTTGTCCTCTTGCCTCCAAGTACACTTAAACTAATTTTACACCTGCTGCACGTCTAACGCGTACGCCGTTGCTACCGTTATTGAGCTGCCCTGCGCAGAACATAATGATGATGATACCGATAGTTTCTCCAATTTTTAAAATATCCTCATTTCGATAGTTACGATACCTCTCGAATACCATAATTGTTTTCTTAGAATTAAGTCTGACACGATTTCGAAGTGTTATTCAAAAGTCGAAATCACGATGCTCTAAGCCAGGGGTCTCCAAACTTTTTGGCTAAGGGGCCGGGTGGAGGCTGTCTCGAGGGCCGGAAATATAAATGGGCAGATGTAAATGAGAAAAATCTAAATAAATCTAAAATAAAATCTAAATGGTAATCTAGAAAATAAGTTGAAGACGACACGGCTAGCTAAGCCATATCAATCTGCAAATTATTCAAGTTCTCTTTTGTAAATTTTCTCATTTTTAAATTAGCAAATTCAAATTATTCGCTTCGCTTCGAAATTATTCGCTTCGATTCGAAACTATTTGTTAAAATTAATTATTCGATTCGTATTCGCTTCGGAGTGAAAATTCACTATTCGCACATCCCTAGACACCAGCGATGTTGCCATACTCTGTAAAAGCAGTGATATTGATAGAAGATTCTCTTTATCCAGATATGTCCAAAAACCGGACAGGTCTATTGTATGGAGACAGAAATGCTTCGCATGCAGGTAATTATAGGTAAGCAACAATGCTTTATAGGTGGTATTCACTGAGCCTGCAGGATCGATATTGCCAGGGAGCGCCACCGCCGATCTGCCATCTTCGAGGTCGCAGTATGACTGACTTGGGCAGCTTGGGTATGCGATCGTCCGTTGGTAGCGCGTGCTAATTTCATATCGTTCAAGAAGCTTCGTTGGACAGAAGAGATAAAAAAAGTTTATCTCGGGGGCGGGCTCTTTTAATTTCTTTGTTACCGCCGAGTACTGTGTGGAAAGGCTGAACGCATGTAAGCAATTTAGCGGGCAACGAGACGAGCGACGACGACCCGTTTCACTGTCGCTCGGTCACTCGGGCAACGAGGCACACCGCATGAAAGCGACGGGAGCGAGCGACCAGGGCAATGAGCGACAAATTCTAGACATCCAAAAACCGAGCGACGCGACGAGCGACCGTGAGAAATCTCTGCCGCTCGTCGCCGACTCTCTTTGCTATCGCCGTCACTCGTCTCGTCGCTCGCTAAATCGCTTACATTCTGTTCACCCTTCACTGTCACTCGTCGCATAGCTCTGTTTTCGGACTTCTAGAAAGCTGAGCGCTCATCGCCTTCCTCGTTTGCTCCTGTCGCTTTCATGCGGTTTGCCTCATCGCGCGAGTCACCGAGCGACAGCGAAGCGGGTCGCTGTCGTTTGTCTCGTCGCTTGCCAAATCGCTTGCATGTGGTTTTTAAATCTACTGAAAAATGTGGCGCATTTTTCATTAGCTGTGCACTCGGTGAGCCGCACGGCATGTTTCTGCACAGGAACGAATGCCGAAGGCACGACGTACAACACGGAGGCGATGGAGCAACTCAGTTACGTGGCCGTAGAGCAGAAAATCCGCTAGAAAGAAGAACAACAAAGAAACTGGCAAAACAAAACAAAAAGTAATCAGACTGTGCTACAAAAGCACCAAAGTAGAAAAATCACAGTTCTTGCAAAAGAGCCACCGCCGTGCGCACGGCATGCGACACAGAGTGCTGCATGGAGCCGATGGAGCAACGCGGCTGCGGTGGACAAGTTTGATAGCGACAACAACCAACGAAAACACACAAAAAATATTCCGACGGCACTTCAAAAGCACCTAAGTCGTGAGAATAACCCCTAGTTTCGGTAAAAAAAAAACCCCTCAAAGTCGTAAAATTCTGCTAAACCACGCTGAAAGGTCCGGCCAGACGACACCTGACACCTATGTGGATAGAAAGAGACCTCGAAGATGGCGACCGTGGTGGCCGATGCCAGCACACCTAGCGAGTGACGTCAACTGAATATCACCCATTCACGTTTGCAAGTCCGATCTCAGGGCGCCGCCATCTTACCAAAGGGTGCGCTTGGGCGCGGCCCTAATTCAATTATGACGCCTTAGCAAGGCTTCATAATCGGATTAGGACGCGCCCAAGCGCACCCCAGCGAGCAAAATGGCAGCGCCCTGAAGCCAGACTAGCAAACAAGTCTAGAAAAACGTGAGGGAAATGGATATCATAACATCAAATCGACCAATAACAGCAACTTCGGTCCTGTGCGGACTAGTGATGCAGGTAGTGAAAGGAAGAATGAAGGAATGGGCAGACCACATTTTAGGCGAGCTGCAGAATGGGTTCCAAAGAGATAGAAGACTGGATGATAACTTATTCATCATCACTCAATGTAAAGAGGTGGCATGGGAGACATGAGCTGGACATCATTCAAAGTTAGAAAGGCGATTAGCAAGTTGACTTGGACGAAGGCTGGACACGGTGGAGGATACACGA